GACCGTAAACAATTATATTCGGCGACATCCTTCTTGCAGCAATATTGACTTTTGCAGGGTTGATGAGGATCATGAGCATGTATCGCCCGAGGCATTTGAGAACCACCTTGGGCATTCCCTGTCACGAGTTGAAAATGATCCTTCCACAATCTGTACTAGAGAGGGCGAAGGAGCAAGAGAAATGAAGTTAAGGGAACAAATTACAGATGCATTAGTAGGAAGCTGATAGGAGTATTTGTAATTTATTTAGTATTTTGTATTGAACATTCAGTACTATATTTCTTTTATTTAAAGTACTTTTTTACTTTACATTTTATAATTGTGGTTTGAACTTTTTACACTATTTTTAAGTGTACTTTTTTTCCCATTTGCATTACACTTGTTTTTTATTTTGGTGGGTTTGAGAGGCCCGTGATAAGACATTTGACCTTTGTGGGTTATTCTGGATGTCCTCTTGGTCGCTGTTGGTTAGCGTTACATATGAAATCCTAATGAAAGAAACTAAGTTTCTCTCGGTTTATGAGGTTCTTTAGGATGGTCTTTTTTGGTGATATGCACATGTGACACACAGGAGATTGGTTTTACGTTGGTTAAAAGCAACTAAGAACTCATTTTTTACAATTTATATTTTTTTTTTGTAGTGATAGATTTGTTGATTATTATGTCGAGTTCTCTGAGACCTCACGCCTGCAAATAACTGTAATTAATTACTTTTTTTAGCAATTTCAACTTCTCTTATGACTAATGGATTGTATTTTTAATCATTCAGGAAAGAATAGCTCTAGGATTTAAGGAACCTCCCGACGAGTGCTCTGCCACTGTGGACCACAGTCTTCCCTATTGATGTTATGCCGGACACATAGCTACGGTAGAAAGTTCTGCAGGTGTCCTCAGTGGGCAGACAATATGAAGAAGTGTGACTTCTTTCGGTGGGCAGACAGTCCGACGGATTCCACTGCCGATAGTGATTGAGGTTTTATGACATCCTCAGAGGACGACGTAGCTCAAAACATACGCCAGATGAATTTTAAAATTAATATTTTCATTTCTTTAAATGTAATTTTCATACTTTTTTATTTTTTTTAATGCAGTTGGTACTAACTGTTATATAATGTGTGTATCTTATTTTTTCTACTGTTATGAAGTAGTTTTTTGCTTCTCAAGTATCAAATATATTGTTATGACAGTTTTGTTGCAAATAACATTACCATACGAGTAGAATTATCATTTATCCAAAAACAGCTGTCACACAGCTATTTTCAAATTGTAAAAAACAAGCAAGCAACTAAATTTCTCACAACAACTTCTTGGGGCAGCTGCTGCAAACCAACTTATTGGACAAATTGCAGTTGCCCCAAACAAACCCTTAATTAACATTATTCATAGAAAATGTCAATAAGGAAAGAGGGAGACTAATGTGGATAAGGGAGTTTTTTGGAGAGATTGGAAGGGCAGGGCTACGTGCTTGTGTTGAACTTAGGTATATTTGTATTTTTTATAGTGAACAAGCATAACCTTATAATTCATATTCATAGCATGTGTCCTAGTCATAGCGATTGACGGAACATAAGAATAGTAACATAATGTGCCATGATTTTTACATTTCAAGAAAAGTATCTAATGCATTTTATATTGGAGTTCTATTCTTCACACCTGAGATTTTTTGTCAAGTTCTAACTAGATGCAAAAGTATATTTTACTACCATCAATTTATATTCACATCCTTTTTTTACTTCACAATTATACCATTATATTTATAAATTATACTTTTTGTGCACATGGATACGAAAACACTCCAATCAAGTATAAATTAAGTAAATGGTACTCCTAAATAGATATGCAGTTACCCAATTTGGTAGCTTGAGCCTTGGCCAATACCTTGGCATTACTTTAGAATTTCCATCTTCACTAAACTAACGCCATTATAATATAAGTATTTAGTACTCCAATTTGATTTCTCTTTTGATTACTTATGAAACCTATGACATATAATATCTATTAATCACAATTCTAAGTCACATCACTAAAATCCTGTTTTGATTAGTACCTATCCTTTTCAGTTAATAACCCTTTTTAACTAAAATAGGGGGCTATACGGTTTTTTAACAAACTTACACTCTAGACATGTTTGGACATATTTCTGCACAACAATTCTAACCAATTGAGCATAATTATGAAACGTAGTTATTGGAATTTATATCTAGTGACATAGTTATTCAAAATATTATTTATCATTATTTAAACATGAATTTGTAGTCAAACTCAATGGTCAATCGTGCACAATCAATTTAAAATTGTAGATATCATTCATTTTATGTAATTTAATTATGCCTTTGTCTCAGTATAACCCCTTATTAAGCCTCTTATGTTGATACAATTCAAACTTATGATTCTTAGCATAATTATGACACATGATCCATATAGTTTATTTTTACATGCGCGCATTCCAATCTATGTGCCAGCCTGCATGCTTTCAGTTTATGAGCCTCGTGCTTTAGATGTGTAGACTCCATGTCGACAACTCTTGTATTTATCAAGCAGGTACAACTCTATTGATTCATGTGCCAGTGATTCACCTGGTAATTATGTGGACCTATCAGCTCACCATCCAATGGGTCCCTAATCCTAGCTTACCACCATTCACGTGATTTAGGTTGGCCTAGCCACCCATCCATTTTTACATGTAACTCTTTCTTTGGATCCAACCTCTTGGATCTAGATTATATTCCTTTTACTCGTGTAATAGGCATTTAGAGATTTATTGTAAATTGTAATTTTATTCATAATATTTATATTTAATGATTAACACAACAATCCAATGCATCAAGTAAAATAAATGTTTTTTTATGTTTTATGCATGCGCTTTTGATAGAGCAGGATAGAAGACGGAGAGGGTAATAATTCAAATTCTTAATGTAGATTTCTTTTAATTTTTCATGTCCTTGATTTATTGTTTTCATAGAACTACCTGGAGATTTATATCACTACTATATATTGCTTGCTTTTGTGTTCTCAAAATTTTTTTTTTTCTAAACAGCATTTCAGGCTCTCTAAGAAAGATGTTAAAAGCAAAAATCAGAATAACTATCTTGTTAATATCTCAACCCTTTACAAATCTTACTATTAAAAATTATAAAATGAGCATTTATCATTGTGACTTGAGAATAGAGGTATTGTAGCACTTGTCTATAATCCTTTGAGTCACATATTTTGAATGTAGTTGATAGAACCTAATTGACGCATAAATATATTGTATAACCCCGAGTAATGTTAGCATATAGATCTAGAATCATTGCATATTTATATTGCATTATAGGCCTTCATTGTGCATTCAACCCTTTATACCAATAAGGTGAAATTTATGACTTATTTTCCTTTCATATTACTTTGTCTTTCTTACATTATATGGAGGTATTGTAGCACTTTTGGTTCCTTTGGGAAATGTATGCACATTATCCTTGTCCAATCTCCGTCTTGAGTTAATTTCTTCGGTCTCTTCCTCGAGATGATGTTGAGTAGCCCCATCTATCTATGTCACCATACTGACATCATCTAGCTGTCTCCTATCTTGCTGCTTTACCTCATTGTGGACCCCTCTATATGCTTGACAGCTTGTTTGAGCTTCTCCATTCGTTAGTAATTGCCTACTTCCCATTTTTTTGAATATAGGAACATGAATAAACATTCTTAATCAAGAGCTCTCTTCAATGCCTCACTCAAGATGTAATTAGCTTTGGAAGCTTACACCCACGAGAAATTAGTACTCCATAACTTTATTACCCACTTTGGCATGTCACGCCTTTTGGGGAAAAGCTCTAGGATTTTCCTTTCTACCTGCTCCCATCCGTTCTCAAATTGTGGCGAAATTTTACAATAATTTTTTCATCCTTTGGAGTGGTACAATAATTTCTTTTTTACTCACCCTTGAGGTTCTTTTGAAGGTCATATAGCAGTGAAAACTAACATGAAAGATGATTGAAAGTTCCTAGGCTTTCCATTGAGGAATTATTTCCTAATACTTATATTCAATAGCTTTTGTTCTTTTGACATGATAATCTGATTGAGCCTAGCACACAAAATTTATATTTGGGTCAATTCGGTTAGGGTTCATATCAAGTTCATGTCACTGCTCAAGTGGCCTAAAAAAATCTTGGTCAAATTGGTCATATTTTGGTCTACCTAACTGCCTGTTCTTAAACTTTCTAATAATATTTTTCTTTGCCTTTCTAGTAGAACTCATAGAATAGTAATATTTTATTAATTTTTCAGGTTAACTTGTAAAGAATAGGCTATTGTGCACATTAATATCATTTCACACTAATCCTACATTTCTTTAAAGCTTCTCATGTCGAATCAGGTCATTTTTGAGCTTCATCATATCTTTTTCATATTAGAGTTTATAACCCATTTGGCAAATGGATCATTTTGACAAATCCATTACAGGTTTTCAACTCCAATCAGATTAGTTTATTTTCAGGTCCCGCTTAAACTTGACTCATTAGAATAAATTGACGCCCTAATGAGCTTCAGTGTCCACATCAGCATCTATCCAGAATAGAAGAAAAAAATGTGAGATTGATTTTGAAATTCATGTTGAAACGTTCAACTTTTTTTATTGTTTTGAACAGACCTCTCTAGACGCATGCTTCAATGATAAATAAAACTGGAAACAGAATTATTCTCTCTTTAATTTTCTTCAGCAGGTTTTGATAACTCTTTAGCAGTTATGACAAACATTCACGTTGAATTTTTTTTTTTGTTTTCAAATTGTTAAGTATCAGTTAAAATACAAAACGAAAAACTTATGCTGTTAATTTTTTTAAGTTCTTAGAAAATCCTCTGGTCCAAGAAAGGAAGGTTCCACTTTTTTTTACCATGCTTCGTTCAGATTACCGTATTCAACATTATTTTGAGTTAGATTCCATTAAAATTTTGATTTCCTTTTTTCCTCTTTGATTTTCACCAGCTGTGAATTGCATTACAATTATACATTGTTGCAGTTGAAGATCCTACTGGAGCCATTTTCAAGGTGGCATTCTGATAAAAGAAGTTCCACAAAGGTGTGTGATACAGGAACGCGAGAAAGGTGAACGTCCCTCATGATGTTTTGGCTGCAATTGCTTCTAGAAAATTAGATTATTTTGCAATTTTTTTCATTTCTCCGCAATTTTTGTGGACTTGGGGGCGATCAGCCTCTCCCTTTTTAATTGTTTAAAATTTTTTTTCTTAATTCATTTTAAATCCCATTTATCCATTGTCCCTAGGCTTCTTTCTTCTCTGTACAAAGCACCTGGTCTTTTCTTTCTTCTCTTTATTTCACTCGTTTGCTTGCAAACACATCATGATGTTGGGCCATTCATGTCATTTTGACACTAGAAATCTATTTTTAATAGATTTTAATTGAACTTGTGTACAGAACATATTGAATTACTGCGCTTAAGTACCTTTATTAGTTTGGTGGGGTTTTTTTTTACCATTTTGCCTCATGAACTAAAGCCAAATTGACCTTAGTGGTGTGTCATGATGTCCTATTTTTGTTACCACTTTGCATGAAGGAGGATGGGGATGCAGAAGCGTTAAATTCACCCAAAAAATTTAATCCATGAAAGAGAAAATGCCAAGATAAAAAAGATGAAACATTGTGGGTTTCCAAAATTGGTGCTTGGCGCTTTAGACAATGTCTTGTGCTCCAGATTTAATTTTTAGATGGCATGTTAGATTTAAGATAGACACTACATAGAATTGTATTTTTATTTTTCAATTATGATATGATTCAAGGTTTATCATATGGCCATGATTTTGTGGCTAGTAATCCCTCTCCATGACAATAAAAGGCTTGTCGATAGTGCTTAGTTTATAGCAATAACAAATTGATTGAGGTTTAAGAAAATCTACCGTCATTAGTTTAAAATGAATAATGTGGGAATGATGAAGAATCTGATCAAGATCATATGATTCCATCATCTTGGCTTTTTAGGGAATATGCTCTTCTTAAGCAGCTGAGATAGTTGGCTCAACATGATCAAAGGATTCTTGCCATCATCTATGATTTGCATCATTCAATGGGACCTTGTAGAATTGTGATAGGATAATTTTAAGTTGAACTTAGCTAATAAAGAATTTTGTCCCCTATAAAGTGAATTCTATAGTTTATCACCCAGTGAATTTGAGCCATTAGAAACTAGCAGCTTCGGTCATGATCATACTTTAATTTGAGTATTTTGTGCCGAATCACTCAGTCAGTGAGCCCTGGTGACTATAATCTTATCTTTATAGTGCCATTTAGACTGACCTAGTTGTCATTTCAGGTGGTAATTTGATTTCTTAAAGAGAAATTAAAGATTATTCATGAAAAATATACAGATGGCAACACTGGAATGAGAATTTAGGTAGTAGGTTGGTCGGAAAGGACTTGTCGGAAAGGACCAGGATTTGCCATTTTGATATCATATAGAAATGAAACTTAATGCTTCCCAATACATTATAGCAACGAACATCAAAGCTATGTTTTGAAATTTATAACCTGATAATTAACAGTTGAAATTATGTAAAAGGTTTATTTTAATTGTTTTGCTATTTTTAAATAATGACTTAAATATCTCTATTTTTTCTTCCTTCAGTGTGGGTCAGTTCTTTAAACGCCACTTTGGAACAGAGGTGAGTAGTCATTTTTCGTAAGTTAAATAATGATCGGCTTATTTCTTTCTTTTTTCTGAATGAAATTAAAGTAACGTGTTTACCAAGTTATTCTGTTTTCCCAGTATAGGTGGTTGATTATCTTATTGACCCTTTTGTGGCTGGTACCAGTGCTAGTGATCCTGAATCTCTCTCTGTGAGCACCATGCTCTTTCCTTACTAAAAATGAGTAGTACTACTAAATTTTGGCTTAAGATGTTCATTGCTTCTAGATTTCTACACGGGGCCGGATGAAATTTCAACTTGTTTAATATAAGATGTTCATTGCTTCTAGATTTCTACACGGGGCCGGACAAATCTTAATATTAATTTTTTGTTTATATAAGATTTATTTATGTTTATTTATTTAGATAATTGATTGAAGTTTTAGAAGATTGACATTTAAATGAACAAGCTTCGATATTGCTCACTAGTTCATTGATTTTTATGATCATGCTTTTTTATTGTTCGACAAGTTGCTCCGTAAGAACTTGATAGAATGCTCCTTTAATTGTATGGATTGCTTATTCTATGTTCTTGTATCTACATTTTTTATGCCTGATGAACTTTAGAAATTATGCATATTACCAAGTCACAAATATAATGAAAATATTAAGTTAATTGCTACATTTATTAAAATCTAATTTATTTTTCATCAATATATGTTTAGCAATAATAGCCAGTGAATTTTGTTAATTTTAATTAAAAAATTAAGAATGCTTAATAAGCCTATATGTTTAAATCATAGTATCCTAAATATGAGTTTGTTAGACTTGATTTTGACTCAAACTCCATAAGAAAAAATAAATAAATTTCATATATATTTTAAACCTTGGGTCAAATTCAAGCTAGGCTTGAACTCTATATGAAAATTAATGAATAAACTTGAATAAGATTGTATTGCTTAGTGGGGAGTTCTTCTGCCATCCTATGTGATTATAATTTTGTGGAACTTTTATAGCTGTTGTAAGCAACTTCCAATAACCTTCTATGACTATTAAATTATTCCTGTTTGCAGATGCCTCATGCATTTCCGCAGTTATGGAATTTAGAAAAAAAGTAAGTTCTATCCCTTCAGATATTATTTTACATGTTTCATAAAGAATACCACTGATCATATCAAAAGAAATAAACTTGGTTCTAATTTTATTATCTGTTATTCCGAAAATTGTTTTGGAAAATACTCAACGCATAAGAAATATCCAGCCATTTTAGTTTGTCATTATGGCTTTTTTCTTTGGCTTTAATTCCTGCTAAGAGAGCCATGCAAAAATAGTTGTTTCATTCTATTTTATTGTGAAGTCTGATGTTCATCCAGGAGATATTTCTCACTAAGTGAAAACTGGTATTAGTTTAATTTTTGAGCTACCAATTATTGACCTTCACTGAATTGAGAAAAGTTGGCAAATTTGTAAGATCTATCTAAATTAATGCTGATGGCTATGATGATGTTCTAGACCTTCAGTAATATAAATTTTACTAGTTATAGTATGGTTATGATGAAAATGAGTATTATAATATGATGGAATATTATGACAAAATTAAACTTTCTACCCTGGTTCCTTGCTACCTTTCGTTATCTGTCCAAATTTCCACTTATATGTAGTCTACTGTGTTTTTTCTATTTCTACTTTTTCAATGCTCCTGATGATGTTGAGGAACCAAGGCTCATGTTCAGAAATGCACTGCGCTTTAAAAAAGTGTGAAAGCACTACACATATAACAATAAATATATGAAAATCTATTAAAATTAATGATAATAATTCTTCATATATTTGAAAGAATCACAAGTATTTATGTTTTTAAAACCGCTATTTTTTACAATTCATCACTAACATCAAAGAAATTGGGGAAAATGAGATTTATGACTATAAATCATGATAATTTATAATCTTGTTCATTGAAATATCAAATATTCTACGAATTAAAATAATAACAAAATTAGTAGAAATAATTGATGCAGAGAGATAAATTACATTTAATTCTTCAACATGAAGTAAGAGAACATGATGAATGAAATTTAGATTTCATAACACCTAAAAGTTGATGCAAGGATAAGATTTTTTTTATATGAAGTTTTAAACTTATGTCTGTGTAATTTAGACATGTTTTAAAGATCTCTTATCTTTGCAATAAGAGCACATTACTGTGTTGATTTACTTGAATTTTAATGCATTTGAGGAACGTTTTATAAGCCCTACTTTATATAAGAGATGTTCATTTTGTGTTATTGCACTTGATTGGGAATGATTGAATGACACAAGGAATGTTGAAGCTCCTCTTACATCTCTTTTTCTTTCTCTCCCGAATGATAAGTGTCATATGAGTTTAACATTCACAATAATCCACTAATAAGGATCAACCAATCAGTAAGGAACCACTAAATCATAGGAGTTCATATACATCATTCAAATATATAGTGATATCCAGTTTGTAACAATTATGCATGTACTTTAACATTGAAGTGGTTCAAATTTATAAAACCTTTAAAATTTTATTTTTATCAAAAACTTTAAAAATTTCATTTCTTTTGCTTAGAAATTTTATTACATTTATAAATACATTTCATTTAAGAAGCCATCTCAGGAGCAGTAGTTTAAAATATTTTTAAAGTCTAAAGTAGTCTCCTGATTATCAACAACTGATCAATTTAGTCTTAGATTTTTTAAGTGCTCTGCTTTAGTACCTAACTACTAAAAATTAATCCAAATTAATCTGTAGGTTGAATTTCATGGTTAAGTTAACAACAACCATTAATATTGAGGATATTTAGTAAGAAAAATTTTAAATAAATTTATATTAATCATTGCTCTATTTTCATAGATAATAAATTATTTAAATTTATAAATGCGTGTAAGTCTTTTAGATGAAGTGTCGAGATGAAAGAGTGAATGTTTAGGGTCACAAAGTGACAAAGTAGCGGATTTGGATGATTTTTGTATAGATAAATTTATAATTTGATGAATTTGCCCTCAATTGGTCCTACAACACCATTAAACTAAATGTAAAAATTGATGTAGGACTAATTTGAATAAATTTTTAGTAATTTGGGACTACGAAGGAGCAATTTCAAATTTTGGAAGTAAATTTATTACTTGTAGAAATTCTGGGGATGATTTTGAGCTTTTGCTCAATTATTATACAATAATTTTTATTTTCATTTTATTCTCTTTTTCCAACATTTTTCATTTTCATTTTTGTGCGAGAATATAATAGTGTCCTTAATCAGTACTATAACAAGTGACTTTTGTGATTGACTTAAACATTTATTTCATTTGATTTTGACACCGGCTGGCTGAGGCTAATGGGAGGGATCTGTCGTCTTCCCCCCTCCCCCTATTTTGCCTATTATAAATATATGTTACTACTTTTTAGGATTTAGTTTTGTTGAGTTTCTGCCCAAGCTAGTCGTCAACGTCTGTTTTCCTTTCTATGGCTATATCTAAAGGCGAGGAGGTGCTCCGATTGTAACTCGTCCGAGGTGTTGATCTTCTGCAGAGGTTCGAGGGGTGCTCTAACCGTAACTCAATTTTGTGGGATAGTGACCTTTCTCCATTCCCCTCCGCAACCTCCCCTGCCTTCCTGTGTCCTGCTCCATATCAGCTGCCGCTACCCCTTCCCTGCCTTGCCTACTGAGCCACCCCCTCTCCACCCTTCTTCAGCTCCACTCACAAGCCTTCTTCCATCCTATAACTTGCTTCCCCTTACAGCGCTCCAACCGGTCATCTTCCCACATGACAACCATTCTACTACTACCTTTCATGCAGCTCCTTCCCAGCCTTATCCTAAGCAACCCCTTGCCCTATTCCTAGCTAGAACCACCACCCCTTTCCTTCCTGTTGCCCAAAACTTCAACCCACCTCCAAACACCCTACCTTCACCACCACCTTTTACCGGCGTATCTACCTGTTGGGCAGCCACCATCTGCCCCCTTTATCGTTGCCCTACTGTGTCTTTTTGTTTATTATCATTTATTTTCTATTTTGAAGAGCCTTCATTGTAATCCTTTCTAAATTTTAGCAATAATATTTGCATTTCCAGTGTGGTTTGGGTTACCTCTGATATTATTTCATATCAAATTTTCATAACCCGACCTGATGCTTAGAATTAATTAAGGCGGGTACTGCGGTTGAACAATATTAACATATAACTAGTTATCCACATTTTTAAATCTTTCAATACATATAAAAGAGTTGTTAATAATCCGCAGGTATAATAAGGAAATTTAAATCATTCAACAGTAACAGAAAATCTTCAAGTAAAATTTCAATCCTTACAACTGAATATTTCTTCCCAAAATATACAGTACAAAAAGAAATTACAAACATATCATACTAGTACCTATTCGTTGCAGTTCCCCTCTTATAAACTAAGTCTCTCTTACCAAACATCAATCTAAAACTTTTTCTCTTGTAAAAAAATATTAATTGCAACCATAAGTATGACTTAGTGAGTAATTATAATCTAATAATCTAATATGTATTAAATTATGATGCTTATGTTATGCATGAATGATGAAAAGAAAATGCAATTTATTTATTTATAAAATCTTGAACTTTCTCTTTAATTTTATCAATTCCCGTTTCACCTTAAGTATTTATTAATTTAACCTCTTTAATAGTTATCACAAGATTGTCGTCAGACCCGAAGGTAATATAAAAAATATGTCCGAAAACACCCTCAAAATTATACTCGAAGATACACCTTAGCAATTTTCTTTAATGTGCACGGGTACATTGCATCCCCTGTTAGTATCATCTGAGGGTAATCCTGTATGACTTAAATCTTTATATTTTATTTCATTCATTTAAAATGCATCTTTATATGTCTTGTTTTTTTGTCATTTGTGATTCTATTTCAGACTATCAAAATGCAAGACGTGAATGAAATATTTGTTTTAAACTATTTAATAAAGTAATTATTCATTTAAAATAATATTAATTTAATGCTTAAAAGAAAATAATAATTCACATTTGCTATTAAAAGACTATTGTAAATGTTTAATTTCTCATTCCACTTTTTGACTATTATCTATTAATTAAATGTCCATATAATTATAAGAATTTTATTATAAAAGAAAGACTTAATATATCTAATGACATATATTAAAAATAACACATAAATAATTATATCATTCATTACCTTAAAAAGATTTGGTTTGCTTCTTGCACAAGATTCCTCTTCCTCCCCTCAATTTCAAAGCTTTAATTCCCGACCCTAAGTACTTCCTGTTTCAAATAAAATTTTTTTTAACATTATTTATATATATATTATAGGAAAAGCCCAAGGGCTAATATATTAAAGAGGAAAAGATATAGATAGGTTAAATGAGAGGGCCTAAAAGAAGGCCTAAATCACACAACACAACACAACACACACAACTCCAAATAAAGCAAAGATACAAAAGGATAAAAAAGCAAAAAGCCACAAACGGGTGCAAAAATACTAAGGACTTCCCACTTTAGTCCTCCCCCTGTCTCTAGTTCTCGGAAAGGACCATGCTAACAGATTGATAAGGTGCGTACCATTGTCCGAAGTAACCAAAGTATCGTCCATCAGATTCCTAAGCACAAGTAGTTCTTTATTATTTTTCTTCCTCCTGGTCATGTAGACTTGTCATTCCTCATCCAAGGATTGACTCATGTGATCAATGGATTGTTCCAAAGGTGGTCGGACAGGTGTAGGCTGTTGCACATCATGATCTCCATGAGCCTGAGTAACATTAACATTTTGCTCGTTTTGCTCGACTTTGCTCGACTTAATGAGGCGATAGTGAAGCAATAGAAGAATTGTCACCTGTAATATCAGTGATATGTTCTAGAGCAGGTGGGGTCTGAAGAATCTCCCTTGCCCCCAGGATAGGGGTTCCAAAGACGAGGGAGCAACGACATTGTGTGTAGACTGAATGGTTGACATATTGTCTGTGAGGATAGGGACATCTTCAGGAGTATCCTTTTGATGATCAATAGTGTCAATAACTTGGGGCTGAACATGAGGAGTTAGATTCTCTGCCTTTGGCAGAGCACTTTGTTTTTTTTGTCTGAGTTGGGGGTGTAGAT